TGGGTCAACCATAGCGGTCTCCCGAAACTCGACGACTACGACCCAGAAGGCCCTGACAACTACGGGCCCATTCCCCTTGCTCGCCCCATCACCATCGCGAAAGGATCCAAGATGGGGTTTTGCATCCATACAGACCATCCTTGGGGCATCGTCCTACGAGCGCTCGGTGTGGAACGCCAACCTCCTCCCGTCTTCCTCCGTGCTGATGCTGCTGATCTGGCAGTGCCTGCGTCCGCCGACTTCCCTGAAACTCTCGAGGGGTCAGGGATGCATAAGATAAATCTGGTAGCCATACCCTCCAGACCTTGGACAAGAGTGTAAGTTGTAGTGACTTTGAGTTGGCAGGGAGATGTAACGGACTCCAATCTGCACGTGAAGCTCCGGGCGGGCAGAGTCCTCTCCAATCCTCTTTCGACACCCTTCCAGTACGATTTGCCTGCCATTCCCTTCCCTTCTGACCGTTCCTTCTGCGCATCAATTACCCCTCCTTCCCTTCGGTTTGTCTGTCAGGCTGAGGAAGGATACGGAGATGGATGCATATGGCCTCTGCGGTATCATCGAGTACAAGCTCCTGCCTGCTTGAGCGATCTGAGGCCTGAGCTCTCCGATCACCGATGGATGGGGAACTTGTGACTTTGAATGCCTTGATAAAGGCTTAGGCTGCCAATTGAAGTTGTCAAGTTGTGCTTCCACGCCAATGATAATTCCGATGATGCGTTCAAGTTATGAACTTCGGAACCAGATTGGTCCTCCGACGACTCACTATGTCAGTGTTGCTCGGCTACTAGCCTTGAAGGCTCAAGTCACTGTCAGGGATCATCGGTGGGCAGTCAGAGTCCTGCGGCGGCTGCCAACTTGAAACTCCGCCGCTCCCGACTAGTCACTTTTTTACTCAAAGTGAAGTCAAAAATCAGTACGAGAACAATTAGGACGCGGTGACTCTCCGAGAGTCGAGCATGCAGTGCAGTGCGCCGCGCGCGAGAAACTGAGTCACTGGCTGCTCACTGCTGTCCCCAAACTTGAAAACTTGACAGTCACTACTATGATTACTACCTAGAAACTTTTTTTGCTCAAAGTTAAGTTAAAAATCAGTATGTGGACACACTGGCCGGCCCCCGGCCGGGCCGCCCAATGACCTTCAAGGTCACTGGGCCCGGGGCCAACTCAGTTGAGTCACCGATTTGAGTGAAACGGCAGCCCGGCGGCGGAGCGGCCTGGCGGCCGGGGCCGGGGCCCGGCCGCACCAGTGTCAGAAAACCATCAGAATTTGATTCTAAATTTAGAATTAAAATACTTGTTTCAAATCAGAATGCTTTCAAAAGCAGTTATATCTTAACGTTTCGATTTATAAATATTTATGGTAATTTTACTTTCAATATGGTTTTATAAAGAGTACTGAGATGCGGCCCCTCCCGTGCACGGAGGCTATCATACCCCTGATTGGCACTTATCATCAAGGGCAAATGGGGGATGGGGTAGTCGCCCAATTCCGTCCCTTCATTGAACAAAAAGTCCCCCACCCTCCACCCACCCTCCTCAACTGGTTGACTACTACCTCTACCCCCTCATTTTCCCTTTGAGTACCTCCACCAATTCCCTATTGAAAACAAAAAGTCTCCCACCATACCCCTGTTCCTAACCCATCCACCCCCTTCAAGCTCAATGCAACCAACTACCCCACCCTTTGAAGCCTCTGGTCCTACCACCCTTTCACTGAGTGGAATACAACCCCATCCTGCATCGAATCAGCAGATCCTGATGCAACCTTTATATACCACCCCTACCCATCATAATGTATCACCCCACCCTCCTTTAAACTCGTCATCAAGATGACCAACCCGTGTCGTCGTTTGTTGACGACCCATGATTGTACGACCAACCCCCTACCCCACTTATCTTGCCACCCCACTCGGTATTACCCTCTCTTTCCACTTGTGTACCCTATGTTTGACTGGAAATCACCCCGTCATCTACCCCACCCTCAGTGAAGGGACCCATTCCACACCCTGCGGGCTAGTCTTGTTGCCACTATCCATGCTACGTCTGCAGCATGTCTGTCAAAAAATTCTCGCAACCACAACAATGTCGCCCTTCTCAGTATCTTGCATGCTCCTTGACATGTTCTGTTCGTTATGTGGCATGTTCTGCGTGATTATCAATTTGCATCGTCCCTACTCTCATCATCCTCGACAAACACAACTGAAAGTAAATCTGTTTCACTTCCTTGGTGGCCAACTCTCCATCAGCCATTGATCCATATTAAGAGGATCATGGACTGTATGTATTCATCCTCCTCAACATTTCCTTCTGTCTGTCGGTTTTAGCTTTATGGTGTCTATGGCAAACTCTAGCGACCAAGGGCATTGTGTGATGCAAATTGGTGTAGCTTTCATGAATATCGATTCATGTTTCCTACAAGGCGTTGACACATTTCTGCTTTCAGCTTACCAAGACATGACACGTACCAAACACATCCTACTTGCCTTAGCAGCGTTGTCAAATTATGCATCGGCCACTCCCTTTGGTGGGAGCTCCGGAATGCTCAACGAACTGGTCAGGAGCTCCTCACAAAATTTGCGCGAACTTTCACAAAGAGAGCGATCATGCAGCAGGTGAGAGTTGAGGTTGTGTGCAGAGATTGAACTGATCGTGATCCATAGACAACCTTTTCAAGTTGTTTCATCCCCTTCCACCCCCTCCATTGGAGGGTTGAAAGCAGCCGCTGCACCCGTCGCTATCATCCCGGACATTGCCAGAGACTCGTCGAATACTTTCCGCAGGCAGAAGAGCACGTGAGTTTGGCTGCTCTGCACTCTGGATGCAAGTCGATGTGACATATTGGTAGGCCTGTGTACAGAGTCCGCTCTTTTGGAGAGCTCTCCTCGATGGAGTACCAGGACCTCATCGTGAAGCTCTGGGACGCGGTTGAACAGGGAGACGTCGAGGAGACCATCAGTCTCGTGAAGCAGGTGAATGGGAACAGCGTCCTTGGCTTGTCAGCTGACTCTTCCCCCCACCAGGGAGCATGGCCCAACCATATTCGGACGGGGGACGGACTACAGGCGAATGCGCTGCAACTGGCAGCGAAGAACAATCATGTCGAGCTGATCGACGTGCTCGTTCACCTGGGTGCGGATGTTCACATGGCAAACGCACAAGGGATGACAGCCCTGCACATGGCTGCACAACTGGGAAACATGGAGGTGACGTTCTGGTAGGGGAGACGACTTGTTGTTGACGACTTGTTGTTCAGTCTGTGAAGACTTTGATCTCGTTCGGAGCGGATCCTCTTTCGCATGTAAGATGATGATGTCTGGTTGATATGGCATGTGCTCATTGTCCCTCAGGACTGGATGAAAGATACTCCTCTTGACAAGGCCATTCTTGCGGAACAGGAGGTCTGGTTGGATGATGAATTCGGTGAGAGTGTTGAATTCATGTGGCAGGAGGTAGCAGATTTCCTACGCTCTGTGATTGAAGGTTAGGACTTTGTTCTGATATTTCACCATCCGTGACACGTTAGCAGGCGACCGACAATCTTTACTTGCGTTCAACCAAAACGTGAGGCATATGGTTCTTCGTCAAGACTCTCGTCACTTCGTCGAGGTCCTGCACTTCTTTTCCATAATAATGGTATGTGACGTTTTTAACAGGGCAAGCACACAAACCCTCTCCTTGCTAATCTTTGAAGGGATTTACACAATATGACAATGCGCTTGCTGCAAGGTCACAAAACGTTCGATCTACCCCCCTTTATTTGCTGTTTTCATCATGTATTATATTCTGATCGAGTTATCTCCTTGATATATCCTTGTCTTTCTTCTCATCTTCTGGGTCTGAGATAATACAACTGTACATCGTGATCGTCTCGCATACTCTGAAAGAACCGCTCCACTTCAAACCTCTCACCGGCCTGACAAGAAAAGTCAAGATGGCCAAACATTACCATGTTCGATTCATCTTCCCTTCTCTGAGACTCGTGAAATTCTATCTCACCTGCTGTATGAAGTTTGCTTCGATTGGAGCTCGGCGAATCTCAAAGGACAGGACGATGAGCGTATCGTGATGAGAAAGAGCCTGTTCAACCTGTTGAGCAGCAGCCTCACAATTTCCTACAGCATTACCTGGAGGGTTTCTAGAAGGGCGCGATGAACTTCCTCCTTGTACAAACAATCTGAGCACAGGATCTGTGCAAACGTCTTGATCATCAAGCGCAGCAGTGGCGAACGCAGGAAAGTGGATGTTGACAGCAAGAGGGGAGGGAAGGTGAGCTAGAGGGCGAGGAATCAGCACACACCAAGTCTGCCTTTCCGACATGTGCAGCCTCAGATTCAGAGCCCCATCTGTCATTCCAGGCCATTTCAGACATTGCCAGCACAGCACTTGGCCCTCCTCCCTCACGTGAGTTGTTCGACTGAACATCTGCTCTGTAGATCTTCGCCGAGAGGATTGCTCGAGCAGTAAAGTTGCAGGTTTCCACGTAGCTTCATACTCAGATTCAGCTCAAAGCTCGCAAAACCCCTCGAAAGAATCTCTGCCAACCAAGTCCTCTCCTATCAAGACCAGCCCCAGCCCCACCTCCTGTGTTGTTTCGCACTCTACCCATCCCTCCCTCTCCTCCTCACCTGATCCAACACATGAGGCAAGTCAGTCATGCAAACCGTTGCTCCAACCGCTGCAGCTGCAAGGCCGAGCACCTGAAATTTCTCAAAATGCCATGCCAGTCAAGCTCCCCTTACCCCTGTCCCGCTTCCAACCTCGACGACTTTCTTCTGCAGAAAAGCTCGATTCAAACACGTATCCCAAGGAAGTGAGATGTATGAAGTTGCGATATCATGAGGCAGGCAGGCATGCAAGAGACCTGCGAATTCATATACTGGTGAAGCACAAAGTTTCTGTCTGTCAAGAGGTTGCAGAGCACGACTGCACTTTGGAAGACACAACCAGCCTGAACTCTCAATGAGAGGAGGAGCAATCGCAGCTTTCACAACCTCTCCCAGATCTTTCCTCAAGGGCAGGTCGATGGGTTTCTGCAAGATCCATTCAGTTCGGATCCAAGAACAGATGATGATTTGTAGTTTCACCAAATTCATAGACGATGGAGGAACGATCTGCGTGGACTGATGGACTTCGGAAGGTGTCTGAAAGTGAATGCGTCATTAGGAAGCCAAGGTAAAAGTAAAGAGCAGCTGAGAAATGTAGTAGAGCCAAGGTCAAGGTAAAGAGCAGCTGAGAAATGTAGTAGACAATCACTTACATCGCTTTCATCACAGAAGAATCGAGATTTGAAGCGATAAGTCCAATCTCCAATCATTCTTTCATACACAACATATTCATCTCGATCTGATATTTTCTTTGCCGACGTATCAGTGCAGATAATTGATAGACAGATGAGAAAAGACCTTCATATGCATAGTCGCTGCAGTTTGATACAAGATTACGACGTGTCAGTCGATTGAATCCAGCTCGTTTTCCCTCTCATTCACCGTCGTTATGGTTGCCGCCACAAAGAGCCTCGAGCTGTCGATCGGTCTGAAAGAACTCTTCTTCTTCTCGACTGTCCCACCATAAGAAATAAAGACTACATCGGAAACGTCTACTTCTTCGGGAGTTGTTGTTTGTCAATGAACAGTTTTCGGGAGTACCTATTGCAGTCACATCATCAACCATCAACTCCCTTCTCCCCAGCTCGCTCTTTCCTTTCATTCCACAGTCTTCATCCTTCCTTCCATAAACGCCTCTCCTCTCCAATCCTCAAGCTCCTGCTCCTGCTCCTTACCCGTAGCATAGCGCCATGTACCGCTCTACCGGATCCTCCTGCATCGTCGGGGTTCCTGTCGGCATCAAGACCCGCCGGAAACTGACCGGGCACCGGACGGCATTGATCGGACCGTCAGTGCGGCCCGGGCAGCAAGACGGGCCGGGCCGCCCCGGCGGCCCGGCGCTGCAATCAACCATGACTCCGGGGAGTCCCGCTGGCCGCTGTTGAATCGATTTAAACCGCACCGGCCGTCGGTCCCTGGGATCCAGGACCAGTTGAATTTTTCATGCAGCGCCGGCGGGGGATCCAACGGTGAGGAGTAGAGAGCGAGGTCACTGCAGGGAGCAGACGACCACTGGCGACCAACTTCGACAGGTTCCCAACATGGCGGCGAGTCCAGACCTCTCGTCCATGCGGTCAGGCTGCATGCCTGAGCCCCTGCAGACAGCTCAAGCTCTGTACAACTACGAGGCGGTGGAAGATGACGAGCTCTCCTTCGCACGAGGAGACAAGATGATCCTATACAGCAGCCCAGAAGAAGGCTGGTATGAGTGCGAGCTTAAAGGACAGATAGGTTTAGCCCTGGACAAGTATCGCGTTCATCCCTCACCTCATGGCTTTCAGGTTTGGTGCCTGCCAATTATGTCCGCTTGATCTTCCCCGAACAACAGCTGCGACTTGCACAGACCAGCGGTTACTTGTGAGTACTGATATTATTTGCTTTCAAAGAAGCAGCTCACTGACATGTTTGCGAAGGCAAAACTCTCCACAACCTTTCTCTGCTGCTGGCAGGCTCAGGTATGGCTGCCGGGGTTGGGAGTGGGGTTGTTGTAATGCGATGCCCCAGCGCCGAACTCTATGGTCAAGGGTCGTCCAGGAACGGGACACCATTGCTGGGGCCTTCTCTTGCTACTCCGAAGCTCGGTCCTCGATGGAGCTCGAATGATGTGCTGACGGAGAACGACAAGGTGAGTTGGTGTGATGGAGATCCCAGCTGAGAGTGATGTCAAGGTGCTGAACGAGGAGAGCGGAGTTAAGAACGTTCATGAGCGTCTGTATGAAGAAGGTGAATGAATTCCAGATGTCATCCTGCCGTGCATGATGTTCACTGACTTGAATCTGGCTGTGATAGGAATCATCTTGATCAAGAAACAACAAGTCAAGCAGGAGATGTCGAAACAAGCTGAGGGCATGGTGTGACAGCCTGAATTTGATTGAAAACTGTAGTGTGATTGTGATCTGTTCAATCAGCAAACCAAGAATGTCAAACCTCATCTGAATCAAAAGTCCATGCAGCTAGCCTCAAGGAGGAAGCCTGACAAAGGAAGGAATTATGGGGAATTCTTGTGGGAGCCTTGTACGCGTTACGTCTGTGGATCTCTGAAGCTACTTTCAGATATCAGGAAGGTCAGCTCAAGAAATATCAGAAAGCAGAATACATGAACATGCTGAAGAGAGAAGAAGAAGCCAAGGAAGACATCGAAAACACCTTCACACCGCGGATTTCGCAGTCGAGCAAAACGTAATTTCGGGCTATGGAAGAGGATGAGCTGGTCTGATGTTGAACAAGGTTGAGGCGGGACATGCCTGTGGTTGAACGACTGCTCATGCTAGAGCAAGTGAGGAATATCTGACGGGTGTCCTTCATTTCACTTGCACTGCGCAGATAAAGCAAGAGAGACTAGAGAGGCTGAAGAGAACCCGAGAGCAGGTCAGTCTTTCCGGTAGTCTCACATGAAGAGGTCACTGAAAATACATCAAGGAGGAGAGCCGGGAGCTGATATTCTCCCCTCGCATAACAGACTACGAAGTGAAGGAAGAGTAAGTTCGGAACTCCGACTACTTTTGCTCTGAATAGCTGCTGGATCTCCCTTGAATTGAATTTCTTTTGATCGTTCGGAACAGAAAGAAGACGGAGCTGTATGGAAAGGACGCGCAGAGACAGCGAGACTTTCAGAAGCATCTGCTGCAGGTGAGCCAGCGGTCGCCGACGACCTTGACTGCTGTCAACATGCTCCCCCAGGAGAAGTTGAAGAGGGACCTCGGGCTCACTCACACTCCCCGCCTGTGCGAGAGATCCAGGAGGATCGCTAGGAGATCTGAGGTGACACTCCTCTCCCTTGAAGTGCTACCTCCTCCCTTGAAGTGCTACCCCCTCCCTTGAAGTGCTACCTCCTCCCTTGAAGTGCTACCCCCTCCCTTCACGCCCTATCTTTTCTCCAAGTGAATTCACCGCCTCTGGTGCTTGAACAGGGCGAGGAGGTGTGGGAGCGACTGCACAAGGACGCAGAACGCAGGGAGATGAAGTTCAGCAACATGACAAGAAGTCCGACTTCACAGATTCCGGGACTGGACCTGGCTGGGATAGAGAAACACATGAAAGAAGGAGGGAGGAGGTCCAACAGGGACGTGAGCGATCTGTCGTGCGGGAGCCAGTCGTCACGGGGGGTCGTGATCAGAGACGCCTCTTTCACGTCCCAGCAGAGTGCAGCTTGCCACTCGCTCTACGAGAAGGCAGAGAAACGACGGACGATGCTGCAGGAGCTGGAGAGACAGAGAGACGAAGAGGAGCAGAGCCTGAGGAGGCACTCCAAGATAACTCCCAAGTCGGAGGAGCTGAGTGCTCACAGGAAGAAGAAAGACTACATGTCAGCTATCGAGAGGTTTGGGTTCGTGACGAACCTGAACAACGAGTCAGCCGTCAACTTCCTTTCTTTCTCTCGTGGTTTCCATCGTGTTTTCGAGCACAGCAACTCACGGGTCTACCTGTTTGTGTGCTCCAATCAGAGCTTGAGGGAGAAGACCTTGAAACAAGTGTGGGCGGAGGTGCTGCAAATGTCCAAAGTCACGAAAGAAAAAGATCCGGAGATGCTGACCGTTCCTCTGGAGATCTTTACAGAAACCCTCGTGTCATGCAGAGAGAATCATTGCATCGAGTCGCTCGAGAATGAGGACAAGAAGAATGTGCTTCGAATCTTGTCGGACATGGCAAGGATTATCTTCCTGGACCGGCTGTCCAGCAACAAGCCTTCACACCAGATTCGAAGTGAGAGGGCTGGCTTTGAAAAGAGGCTGAAGCAGTTGCAACTGGAAGCCGCGCAAGAGTTTCGGAAGATAGTGAGGGAGTTGGGAGGAAAGCTCAACGACTCGGAGTGTGACCTGCTCTTCGAGTATTACGACCAAGAGAACCGGACCCTGAGGCTCACTGACTTTGTGTTGAACTCCTCGGGTATCTTGACCTCTCGCAAGATCGCAATGGAGCGATGGCTGAAGAGGTCTTCCAACCTTGTGGCGCGACAAGATGATAAGTGACTGTGCTTGTCCAGGTACGACATCAACAACATGGGAGCCATCTCCATCATACAACTGGGTCTGCATGACTCAATCTCACTCGCCACAAAGTAACTCCCATGGCTGAGGGGTGGGGGGTTCCTCGTCTGAGATCTGCTGCCCAGGAAGCGAATTCAGATCTTCGATGGAGTCATAGACAGGATACAAGAGGTCAACATGCGACTGCAGAGCATCAAAGAAAAGTTCCGCCACACCTTTGAAGAAGAGCTCCAGGAAGGACTGTCAAGGTGATTGTCAATGCTCGACCTTCGCGGTTTCGGTGTGACTGTCCAGCAGCCCTCCTGCAGCCAAGGCAAACTCGGAGGGGTACCATCCTTTCTCCAAAGCTCGGGAGAAGAATCAGCCCCGGGAGAGCCCAAGGGATCAGAGGAACGTCCCGAGGCATGCAGTCTGATTGACGTGAAGGAGCCTTGCTGACTTGCTTGTAAGCAGAGGTCTTGACGGCAGTTTGAATCAGATCCCCCGGCACGAGATCCTCCATCAGTTGTCTCGAAAGAAGTTCGAGAAGATGTTTGCAGCTCGACAGAAGCAGGACGAGAAGGAGATGGAGCACTGGTACTCCATCTGTTGACCCCCCTCTTCTCCCTGACAAGCTCCAGCACTTTCCGGCCTGTTGTCAACCCCACCAGGTCGCATACCCGCAAGTCGAACTCGGACACCACGAGCGTAGAAGACAGATTGTGAGGAGCTTCTTGTGTATGTCCTCCTTGAAGATCTCACCGCCTTCAGGTTCTATGGATCATCGCACAAGAAGAAGTGTGAGAACACAAAGACCTGGGAGGAAAGAGAGCTTGAACTTTGCACATTCCGACCTGTAAGCTCACGTGTGTAAAGTTGAGAATGTACCCCTGACGCGATTCTGTTCGCAAGACGCTGGTGAGCAAATCTCCGAAAGTTTCAGGCAACAAGGACTCGTCGGTCAAGCCCAGAGAGGACGCGAGCAAGAGACACGTCGACAGAGTGCGAAGAGGTGATACCGTGAGCTCAACTCTCTATCTCTCACTCGCATGACAGGGGAAGAGCCTGAAGCAAACATCACTGCCAAGAGGTGATCTACCTCCCTCACCTTTCTCCACGTCTGACAAGAACAGTTTGAGCCCCCCGAGCCAGGAAGCAAGACCTCCCATGCTTCTGACTGAGATCCGAAAGGTTACCGAGCTCAGCACTTACCTTGTTGTGCGCTGACCTTCTCCGCACAGAATTTCGTCAACCCGCCCTTGTTCTGCCTGGATGTTGACCTTGGCAACGGCAAGATGCAGAGGCTGGAAGTCCACAAGGTACGAGGCCGAAGGGAGTGCAGCGAGTGCAAGATGTGACGCGTGTTGGCAGGGCGATGACGTGGCACACCTTGTGGGATCGTTCTGCAGGCACTATAACCTTGACGACAAGTGCTGCCAGAACCTCCAGGCCCTCATCGACGAGCAGCTTGTATGTATCGACTTGCACGGCTACACCTCTCCGAGCGAGACCAGCGTGCTGGAAAGCGACGACTCTTCTATCTGATCTCAAGCACCTCCCCTTTCTAGCTTGACACACACTAGCCTTACCCCTGCTCTTTAGATAAATCCTTTAATGTAACAGTGATAACCACGAGCTTCTTCTACCAACCCAACACGTCTGCTCCAAACCCGCCGAAGAGACCTTTCTTGGGCTTCGATGCTTCCGACGTTTGCTGCACACCACCTATCAAGGCAGAGGGCGCAATGGGAACTCTCACCGCCTGCGTCTCCTCCGCCTTCTCTGCTGCAGCATTTTGGGCTGGATCCTACTCCAGATATCAGAGCATGGCAAGGGAGAGGAAGGAGCAAGTGAGATCCAACTGACCACAGGCAACAGTTTCCACTTCTGTGCCGCGTGTCCGTTGGCAGGCCACATCTGCAGAGTGGCCTCTGGGTTGGGGTTGGCATCTTTGATGTCCAGGACTGGAGAAAGTATCACCCCGAGCATGCATCAAGGAGATGTCTCAACCAAGTCCGTTCAGTTCACACTGAAGTACCATGCTCTCTGCGTTGTACTTCCATTTCTGCGCCTTGGTGTCGTTCTTGTTGTACATCCACAACTTGGTCCCGCTCTCCTTGTTCCCGTTCTCAACATCCAGGACCTTGACACGAGGTCAAATTATGCACTGACTATCACAAGGGAAATCTCTTCACCAACGAACTGCCCTTGTTCTCCAGTCTTCCATCGTCGTCAAATCGCCACTGCGAATCCAACCATTTCAATGGCGCGATGATGAATGATATGTAGAGAACCTGTTGTGCATCTGTTCCATTGTGCGGATACATCCACACCCTGTTTTTCTCCTCCTTCTGTCCATAAACATTGTCCAAGCACAACCTGCATAACTTCACATTTACAGACACGAGATGCCACAAGGCGAATCAACGAATGTATCGCGTCTCAGATCTCGGAGACAAGAAACATCCTTTCCATCTCTTCATTCTCTCTGCCTCTCCTTACCTCTCTATCCATCCTCCTCTATCGCAACAGCATACAGTCTCTCTTCCTCCCCGTCTCCTTCCTCTCCTCCTCCCTTACCCATTCATTTCGCTCTTGATAAAGAACCATCCCGCCATGCTCCTTGCGTCGCTAAGTCCTTGTCATCGGAGCCGGTGAGTTCCTAGGGGGTGGGGGTAGTATGGGGTGCAAGGACAGTAGGTTCAGAAAACCACAGGTAAATTGGTGGGGTTCAAAGCCAATAATGTCAGGGTGGGTAGTGACCCTACTGGGGTGCGTGAGTCTGAACATGGGGTAGTGCAACAAAGAGGAGGTGACTTGGGGTAGGGTGCTCACAATGTGCTGGTGAACAAGGCAACGCCGGGTAAACCAGCAAACATTTTCAATATGTACTCTACCACCCACCCCTCAAATTTCCATCCTGTATTGGGGAAAGGGTGGGTGTTAACTCCTCCAAACAAAGAACCCAAGGCAAATGTCGAATGGTCGCATTGATGGACCATGGTGCGGGCGAGGAGGAAGACGAGCGAGATGCTGTATGACAAGCGCTGATCTAGGACTGCTTGTGTAGAGCAGCCACTCAAGAGCAGCTCTCTGTGCACCTTGGAAGGCACGATGATCAGTTTGACACCCATCTCCGCCAGTCCCATCCAAGGTTGTTTCATTCAAGTACAATCAGCTCCCGGTATTCTTGGAGCGTCTATTGGGTTGAGGCCTCCGATACAGTCAAAGCAAACTCATGTGCTACATTTGAAATGTCGGAACAGAAGGACTCAGCTCACACCACTCCTTGCTGGTAAGTGAATACTTTCCATTGTGTTTGGTAATACCGGTGAAGGTGGTGGCGGAGGAAGCAAAGGGAAAGGAGGAGGAGGGAATCGGTTGAGCAGATGGTGGAGAGATCGTGGTGGAATGGATGACTCTTTGCCCATAAATGTATCACTCTGCTGTTGATTTGAGAAGAATGTGACTTTTGAACAGTTCCTTATCATTTACTTCACGACCTTACTGTTGTACGTCCTCCGAAAGTCAAGGTTGATCTCTTCTTGCACTTGATCTTTCTGAGGGGCAACGACCAGATCGAGCAATGCGCAGTTGTCGTTTCCTTGGAGCGAAGAGGTCCTCTTGTCTCACCGGTCCTATTCTTGTCCATTCACGACCATTCTGCAGATTGCGGATCACATTCAGAACCTCGCGGCAACATGGAACAACCCGATAGCCTCGACGTTTGCCATCAAGATATCTTCAGCCGACAGGTTCTGCGAGTCTGCTCGGTGGTGCTGCTGACCATTTCCTTGGCACAGTGTTCCGGCCTTGCTTAACGCCATTGACCTGATTCTGTGCTCTCAAGAAAACTTGTACAGGAAGAGCAACGATGTTTGTCCGGCAGATTCTTATGACACCATGGAAGAAGATTCAGATCCACTCAGCAGATTCAACGACCTGGAGGATCTGGTCAGTGACGGTGACAACCTTCCTCAGTTCCTTGTAGAGGACAAAGGTTACGACCAGGAGTTGAAGAAGAGACGGAAGAGGTGACGGCAAACACGCGAGCTTCTTTTTCTCTGAAGATATCTTGGCTGCAGGAAGACGATGGATCAAGCGCTGACAATAGCGGCAGCCATGACATGCCTCCGCCTCTCCGATGTGATCTGCCATGGGTTGCTACCCCAGATTGAGAAGGTGATGGCTTGATATGCTCTCACTCTTTTCGAGTGATGATGTTGAAAGCTTCGATCCGATGGCGATGTCTGGTACGAGCGGAGCATGACACCTTGGAGACTTGTGCTTGCTGCGCTTCCTTCTGAACCGTTATCACCGTCTCTTCCAGGGCCTGGAGACGCTTTCCTTCCCACTCGGGACAGACTTCTCCTCCTTGTTCCCGGCGAGGTCTTTGGAGAACAGAATCCACGAGTGCCGCGTTCATCAGCGGGTAATCGTGTGTTGCTCATCAGTACCCTGACAATGCTGTATGAAGGGAGCAGAGATAATTGCCAGCCTTTCTGCCGAACGTATTGGGTGATTCAAAAGATCCCTTCGCAACTCTCGACGACTCAGACGCGACTTGGCAGGAAGATTTTGACCAACATCGGGGACCTGAGGAAATCTTCCGATCTTTATAGCCTCGAGAAAGCTGTTTGCCAGGTGCGTTTGAAACTTTCAAAGGCCACCTGTGACTGGTCATGGATCTAGAACATTGCTCTGTTCAATTCAAACTATTCCTGTGTGCGCTATGAAGAAGAAACTAGTTGGGTTCGAAGGAAGGCACGAGAAAATCCAAGAGACACCCTGATCAGGCTGCGTGCTTTTGCCGAGACAGTCCCAGAGAAATTGCAAGAAATCAAGCTACGAGGATTGGAGCACAGCCCCCCGTCCTTCCTACAGCAGGTCAAACTGCAGGAGAGGGGAAGAGTCCGTAACTGAGGAGGGCCTGCAGCATTGGCCCGACGTGCTCCTGATTGGAACCACAGCGATTGTGATGAAGACGTCTGCATCGTCCAGGAGGTCCTTACCCCTGCTGCTGTCCCTTGTGCTCACACTCTACAAGTTTCTTCAAGTCTGTTAGCGCCTGGAAGGACACTGCGTCCGAGGCCGTCTCCAACGTGGTCCAAGAGAACCTGCGGGAGCCGATGAAAGCAATCTCCAAACTCCTCTTCGAGAAGCCAGCAGGGAATGAGATGCAGGAGGCCGTGGAGAGGTCGCGCCAAGCGCTGCAACGCATGATTGATGTTGCTGCCGAGCGCGTACAGTCGTGGAGCCTGATGTTGGGTGGCAGTCGTTCTACAAGGATGAGCTGAAGCGGACGAGCGCTGGAGGGATGGAAGGCATCATGAAGACTTTCGAGCTGGAGATGCGGTCGCCGATCAAGGGGGCGTTGACAGGAAAACTTCTGCGAGCAGTGAGCAAGACGTTGGAGAGGAGGAATGGGGAGGAGCTGAGAGGTCGGCAGGGGCTGATCCAGCTGCAAGAGATGAAGCTGAACTTTGAGACGGAGATGACTACGGTGCAGAGGCTGCTTGAAGCGCAACAACTCAACCTACAAGTGCCTTGGAGGGGTTGACGGAAGTTCCCTGAAACCTGCACGACAGGTCCTCGCGATGCTCCCAGTGCTCTCAGCCATCGCCATCGCCACGGCCGGAGTCTCGGGAGCGATCTCATGGATCGGGTCGAGGAATCAGAGGACTCGGGAAGACCTCCTGGACATCGTCCATGAAGTCAACAAATGCCTCATCTCCGAACAGGTCAAGTCCTCCCTTCAGCTCCACCGGCTTCTCCGGTGCCCACAAGCTCGTACTGACACTCAGGATGTGCAGGTCGGGGGCACGGAGACTTTCAGATCGATGGGGTTGCGATGCTTGTTCGTGTGGCAGATGGGGAAAGTGCTACAGACCGGCATAAGGGACATCGACCCCCGGCAGGTCTCGAAGCTGAGAAACGATGTCGTCAAGCTAGCGAGCCCGGCCATCTCGGTGAGCTGAGTGAAAGAGATTCGAGGGCTGATGCGACTGTAGGTGCAAGAACACTTCCTGCAGCTCGACTTAGTCTACCGACAACTATCCAGGGCCTGACCGGGTGCCTCGGAGGACTGGCGGCGACTCGGACTAATAACACTGAGTGCCGGGCCCCGGGCCCGAGTGAGGAATGTAACGACTGTTGATGATGACCCAGTAATCGGTCATTTTTTACCTCGAGAGCTTACAGGTCGGGATGACTTCGGGACTCCGGTACCACGAAAGATTAGTTATCGGAGGTACCAAATCTGGACTTAGAAATTGACTACTGCCACCACGACCTAGACCGCACCCTTTCGAATCTGACTTGGGAACCCGGCGCATTTTATTTTTAAAAAAGATTTGACGTATGGGGTTTTATGTGGGACCCCTCAGGGTGGAGGATTTTCTAAGTGAGGGATTATGAGAAACAGCTGAGGTACTTGTGTGGGTGAGAAGTTAGGCCGGGAGGGTGGAGAATCTCGGGAGGGTTCCAGGGGCCAACCTGGGATTTGAAAGTGTCTTGTTTGAGATTTTTGTCAAAAAAATCTACACGTAACATAAACCACGAGCTCCTTGCTCGTTCCCAATCCGACAGACAGGCTGCTCCTGTCCTTCTGCTTTCCTCTTGGCTCGTAGACCTGCGCTGACAGCTCTCCGACTCGCTCTGCTGAACAAACTCATCAACTCGAGCCTCACAACAGGGCATGGAGGAGCAGAGCAACATCGCCCCGCAACGTCGGACCCTCGTCATCCGCGTGCTCGATGACTTTCGTTGCGACGAGCAGCATCCTGACGCATCGAAGAAGAAGATGAAGAAGAGGATCGGAACATTCTTGCTGAATGTTTTGAGTGAATCCAACCCTAGGTGCCAAAGGGCTTCCATGCTCTCAGGAAACGAATGCTTGCAATGCATCTTGGAGAAACGAAGTCAGATCAATGCCGGAGTGCTCAAGACCGTTCGATGACTGAGAACATCGCTGTTGGAGACTCACGCGTGTAAAGTATTATTTCAATCATTAAAGACAAGCTTCTGCTGAGTAAAGCCGTGGCCGGAGGAGTTTAGACCTTGGCCATGCTCTCTTCATACATTGTTCTGATCTTGCGACTCATCTCGTCCCTGAAAGGAAGTGAGATGTCTATAGAACCGTCGGGCGCAGTACAATCTGTCTTGGAAGTTCAGAAGCGAACCGTTACAACAAACACTTTGACCTTGAGGGTCCGGGATAAAGTAGATGGTCTGTTTCTGATCCTTCTTCGCCAAACAATATTCTGTTGTTGCCAGATCTTCTGGGAAAAACACCTTGAACTTGTGTTCTTGATTATTCCTGCTCACGACCTTACCGACCCACCACTGCAAACAGCATGGCCGTTAGGACAAGAAAACATGTTGAACAAACAAGAGAGACCAAAAAACTAAAAAAAAATGTTGAACAAAGAAGAGAGATACTCACTGAATCTTGTGATTCAGGGAAATGAACGACCACCCATGCGTGGCCACTGCGGATGATGTTGGATGAGTACCCCACAACTTTCGAGTTGCTGTGTAGAGTTGACTTTGTCATGTTGACATAGAAAGTCATCTGCTTGACGAAGGAATATTCCAACGATGTGAAGCTTGCATGGACATTGCGGGAGATATGAATGTTGTAAGGCCCTGTGTTATGTTCGAACCATTCATCTGGACGATCGAAATCAATCTGCAATGAGAACAATAAAGACGCAAGACAAACCAAGTTCAGTGTTGAAGCTTCTGAAGTCCAAAACGTTCGAGCCCTCAGCAACACCTTCTATATCCGAGCGGGTGAGGTCAACGAACGCCACAACTCTTTCAATCGATTCCGAACTCTCTCCCTGACCTCCCTCAGCAGGCGGCGGGGGCGGTTCTTCCCTTGATGACCCGCCTCCGCCTCCGCCTCCGCCTCCGCCTCCGCCTCCACCCAGCGACCTTGCGCTGCCTTGGCTGCTGCTGCCTCCGCCTCCGCTTCTTGCCAGTCCTCCTGCTGCTACTGCTGAATAAGTTAGTGCGGCTGCGGCTGCTGTCGCTGTCGCTGCCGAAGTCACTGCTGCCCCGCCGCCTCCTCCGTTGCTCACTCGGCCTCCTCCCTGATTCCCGTCCGACCTTCCTCCCTGACCTCCCCCAGCAGGCGGCGGGGGCGGTCCTTCCCTTGACGACCCGCCTCCGCCTCCGCCTCCGCCTCCGCCCAGCGACCTTGCGCTGCCTTGGCTGCTGCTGCCTCCGCCTCCGCTTCTTGCTCCTTCTGCTGCTACCGCTCGTCCTGCTGCTCCTCCTGCTCCTCCTGCTCCTCCTGCTGCTCCTGCTGCTCCTGCTGCTCCTGCTCCTCCTGCTGCTCCTGGTCCTGCTGTCGCTGTCGATGTCGCTGCCGAAGTCACTGCTGCCCCGCCGCCTCCTCCATTGCTGGCTCGGCCTCCTCCCTGATTCCCGTCCGACCTTCCTCCCTGACCTCCTCTTGATGACCCACCGCCCTCTGTTTGTCTGCTGCTGCCTCCGCCTCCGCTTCTTGCTCCTCCTGCTCCTCCTGCTCCTGCTGATGCTCCTGATACAGCTGTAAATGATGATGATGCGGCTGCTGTCGCTGCCGCTGCCGGAGCTGCTACCTCCCCGCCGCCTCCTCCGTTGCTGACTCGGCCACCTTCCGGATTCCCGTGCAACGTATCTCCTTTTCCATTTTGCATGGAGTTCTGGTGTGATAGTTTGCCATTTCTTCTTTCTGTGTTGGGGTTGTCATGGCCATTAGGGCGTTTTCCAAAAGCTTGAAGATCTTGCGGCCGAGATGACAGATTAGATGGGTCTTGATCAGTTGACTCGAGCGATCCTTGTTTCTTCCTATTCGTACGAAATGATGACGAGTCGAAACCCTCGATTTCTCGTTTTCGTTTGTGATGAACAGACGACTGAAGATTGTCTACAGAGTTTTCTGTGTGTGTGTGCGGGATCCCAGATGACGCTTGGATGTCCGGCCGATGTCGTTTTAAGCTCCTTCGTTGAATCTTCTTTGGCGACGATCGTGAGTCGGAGGCTTCATCACCTTGAGCAGTTTGGGAATCGGGGGAATCACTTTCAGTAGCACATTCTTGATCTTGTCTGCGTCTGCCCCTTCCATCCGTTGAAATTGTGCGCTGTCCAGAGGCTGCTTCGCCGTGGTTCAAACCACACTCCTCGTTCACAGATGCCGTGCTTCCATTCCTTTCATGAGCTGCTGGGCGATTGCTCCTGGGTGAATCTGCAGGTTCTCATTCAGTCTATGAAAGAGTGCAAGCAATAATCGTTCACCAGCACGTTGATCATTCAACTTGGAGATGGACTCCTTCAACATTGCAAGCTGTTCAAATACTTTTAGCTCCACGACGTTCTTCATGGTCTCGCAACTGTCACGGATTTCCTTTGGATCAAGATTCAGAATCGAAGTCATTTGCTTCTCGTTTTCCTTGAATTTTCTCAAGATCTTTTTGCTGGTCCTCATCATGATCACTTGTCTCGAGGTCATCTTCCTGTATTTTTGCTCCAATTGGTGGATTCTCCTCTTGAGTGCTTCATTTATGTCCGACTGTTGATCTTCCATGGCGGTGAAGCAGGATGTACTCCAGCGTGTTTAGAAATGCAAAAGCACGTCTCTACCTTCGAGCTTCGTGGATGTGAAGTTGATTGAAAGCATTTCAAATAGTTCGCTGCGAAATCGTTATAATGCCATAAATGTCCTCCTCCCCTCGATTGACTCACTCTTCTCTCTCTCTCCCTCCCTCTCCCAACTTCTTTCTTGTGAAACCTCATTTTGCCTTTTCTCTCTTCTCTCCTTCTCCCTCCCTCCCCCAACCAATTCTGTATTCTCTGTTCCTCGCCTGTTCCCTCCTACCCGCCTCCCCCCACACTACCGGCTCCGATCAAATTCCAGTTTCCCTATTCTAACATCATTCCTCATTCTGTCCCCTTCCTCGTTGTCACCTCTTCACTTCTCCAAACCCCTCTCCAACTTCCCTTTTCTTACTCACCCCACCCGTCACTGCTGCCACCAGCGCTCAAGCACAAACACGAGCAAACAGCCTTCTTTCCTTGCCAGCTTTGTAACCCTCCTCTCTTTATCCTCCTGTATTCTCCATATGTGCTGCATCCCTTGACTTTAAATTTCTCTTCCTCACTTTCCCTCCTCCCCTCCCTTTTCTCTCCTCCGCTCCCCTCCGCTCCCTTCCTCTGCCATACCTGTCCCGCCCACTTCTTGGCCAAGGTCTTTGCAGTTCGTGGCAACAAACAGACGTTACATTGTAACGTCCATAAATTTGCTTTAAAAAAAAAATTAACCGTACAAACAACGGAAACCCTCCCCAGAAAAAAAAACTCCGTTACGAATATTCATTTCCGTTACATTAGTTTGTCGGGGCATGAAAGATAGCACCCTGATCATGATGGTTGCGATGCTCGCGACGAACCTCGGGCAGGCGGAGGAGGAGACGACAGCAGGGCGGCTGCCATGGAATCTAGCCTCTGCATGCATACAAAGGACACAAGGAAGCGGTGGGCTGCGTTTACGTGGAGGTATGGGTACCAGGTATACCGAGCGAGCGACAGTTGCGACTTGATGAACAATGAGCCGCAGGATGAGAGCGTTTGAGTTGGCAAAGAAAGCAAACCTGACAGATAAAGATGCAGAAGATGAATGGTGTGCTCATGAAAAGGATTGTGGATCACTCATGCCTTGAAGGTACAATGCGCTGGATGAGAATCAGACGGAGACACCTTGGTATTATCCGTTCTACGACGATGTCCGCGGTGAGGGAGGCGGTTGCCAAATGTGCACTGAACGTGATTGGAAGACGAAAATGGTCCCTGGTTGCCTGCAAGAAATATAAGTGAGGAAACGATTGATCCCGAACTGAGAAGGCATCCCAACGAGACGATAGAGGTGGGTCATTGAGGTAAGAATTCAATCTGATGCAGCCTATCAGGAAGCGTTCGAGAGGATACTTTTGTTCGATGATGAGAACAAAACAGCCCTCAAGTGAATTTATTTCTTGCAAGTCCAACGGGCTAATGTACTCGTCAGCCTACATTATCTTAAGTCAGCTGCTTGTGTTGATGATTACAAGGAAGACTGCTGTGTGATAAAGCTCCCTAGGCTGATATTCTTCAGGGAGTGAAAAAGATTATCGAAGAAGAAGGCATTGATGTCAATGCTGAAATTGAAGAAGCGAGCCTAGAGAAGGTAACTTTCAAATGGCATGATACTTTTCTGAGTGAACGTCACGAAGGCGATACACTTTGCTGCATGGTGTGGTAACATTAAAACTGTCGAAGTCCTATTGGAACTTGGAGCTGGTACGCATTCAACATGAATGAAATCAAAAACATTCTCACGATCATCAAGATGTGAATGCGAAGAATTGTTTCAACCAAACTGCACTGCACAGAGCCGCCTTTAGTACTGTCTTGCGGCGATGGGTAGCGCGGGAATTGACATGCTTTCAGGCGGCTTTCAGCAGCTCTGTGAATTTCTTGTCCAGAGGTTGTAGACAATTTCATGCTGCGGGCGTGGAGCAAGATACCTTCATCTGCTAACTCCTTGCATTAGGGGAGCAGACCCTCTTACACCCGACAGCTGGGACTTTTCTCCGCCTGAGTGGTAAGGCATAGAATCGATTTGGTCTCGGTGCTCAAACATACTGCTCAAGGGCCGCTGCAAATTTCAAGAATTGGACTTGCCAGGAATAGAATTTGAAGAGAGATGGACTCCTCTATTCCTGACGCCTGTTTCAGTGGTTCTATGCTAAATTCATCTCAAATGAGACTTTCCCCAAGGGACCTCCGCCTCATTATGGTTTGAAGGTAAATTCTTTCCACTCCAGTGAGACCTTGTGATGACTCAGGGGTTTGATAGATGAATGAAGGGTTTGAGTACTTCAATGTGTAAGGACTTCGATGAAGAGTTCACCTGAGCTGAACCATTGCCATTCTTATGTTTGTTGGTAGCCACCAGGACGATGAAACTGGCGAGCCGATCGTAAATTATCTGAATCTGGTAGACGACCCCAATCCAGTCTACAATTTTACAGGCAAGGCTTCAAGTTTTCTCAACAAAGGTCACAACTCTCTTGCAGACATGATTGAGAGAGGAGAAAAAGCCTACGAGATGATTGACGAGGCCAAGGCTTCTTATCTAGAGTCGCAGGCGGCACGTTTGGAGGTTGAAGGAAGTTTGTTCCTGGTTGAGTGCGTGCTGATTATACTCTATGACCCCAGAACCGAAGGATCGTCAAGGACGCAGGGAACAAATCGACAGGAGGCGCAGGGAGATTCTCAACAGAAGTGAGGCTCCATTGCAGGATTTCTACGAAGCAGGGAAGTATGATGACGAGAATCAGCCCCTCTCGAGCACGGACAACGAGTCGCACAACACAGATGATGACTTCTCTTCTACACTGTGATAAACGTCTTGGAGGCATCGGCCTCCAGTGCGGGGTTGGAGTGAAGATCACTTCAAGTCCGGATGTATGAAAGACTTCTCCTTTCCGAACATCTCGAAGAAGGACTCCTGTTGAAACGATCAGCGCAAAGACGCATCTGACGACTGCCGTTGGACAACTGACATCAGTCAAAGTGCTTGCCTTCTTGTTCTCCTAGAAGCAAACAGTGGATATCAGCCTAGTGAACTGTCTGTCTTCTTGCCGTACCTTGTAGATGTCAGAGATATTTTTCCAGTTCTCCGGCGAGACTTTGAACGTATTTCCGCAGTTCTCACATTGCACTTGTTGATTTCAAATCACTCTTGACAAAGAAAAAGAAGTCAAATTCACCTCTCACATCAACAGCCAACTCCGGAGGCTCCAACTTCCGGAAACTGCCGAAACAGTGCATGAACAAACAGGCATAGCAGGTCACGATCAGGTCACATGTCTGAGCTGCACATGGGACAGGTCGCGTATGTTTCGATGTCCTCATCCTCGTCCTCATCCTCGTCTCTGGTTCGTCTTTGACCCGTTGGCCGCGACCCTCCCCTCCCTCCTCTCTTCTTGGCTCGGAGAGCTAGCAAAGTGGATCTCTCCCAAACAGCGCTTCCGAGCCCTCCTGAAGTAATGCTGGAAGACGCTCCGAACCCCCTCGTGGCAGGCTGCCATCCCTCGCCAGCCGGGAGTCTAGCCAAGGCATGTTTGACCACTCTGGAGCTTGCGAAGCTGCATGGCTGTAACAGGGAATGCGGAGGCACGAAGCTTTCTACTGGAGGAAGCTCTGTCACCATCGCCATCATCGTCATCATCGCCATCATCGCCATCATCGCCGTCGCCATCCCCTGCACCGCCTTTGTGGTGTGCCACTGAAGCGATGCGACCAAACCCATGGCACCGCAACCACGTAACAGATCTGTTACGTGGTTTGTAACCCGGCCGATAGAGCCACTGAGGGCCAGGTCACTGGGCCGGGCCGCCGGCCGCCGGCCTCGGATCGGCCCGGCAGTGCCGAAACTTGAAAGTCAACCATCGAGCCGCGGCCGCCGTCGGGTGCTGTGATGCCCAGGGCCAGCCTGTCCTAGCGGGGGGACCCCTTGCCGTCAGAGTGAAACGAGACAACACTTGACTGAAGGCTATTTATAGGTTGAAAATTAAAGCAATCGGCTCATCCGTACGACGTGATTCATGCTGCAGTCTCGACCTGACTTCATACCGCAGAGGAAGAAGATCTTGGGCTTGTCGGGGTTGGTGAAGTCGGAGCACATGGGGCAAAAGTATCGCGCAATGCACTGACAGGTCGTCCCCTTCTTGGTCAGCTCCTTGCACCTTCCCTTCTTGTAGGCTTCGGAGGGCAGAGACGAGCAGGAGCTCGGGGTGTGGCTCAGCTCGTGCTGGCTCGACTGCCTCTCCCCAGCTCTGGTTGCGCTGACAGCGTCCTCCTCCTCCTGTGGACCGTGGCTTGAGGAAAATTCCTTGACAAGGCGGCCAAGGAACATTTTGAAGCTGATCTCTTTGCTGCCTCCAACGTCGCTGAGCTCGAACTTCTTGTACGCCAAGTACGCGTTAACTGTGATGAGACTGAGCATGTACTGAAACACCAAGATGTGGAAGTTGTCGGTAGGCCAGAGCGTGCCGTTGCGCAAGCCCGTGGACAGACAGTCGTCGAAGGCAGCTGACGACTTGTTGACGTCAAGACACCTCCTGACAACATCAGGAGCCTTGACCTCAAATTGCTTCACCTTGAGTATCCCCGCTTCATTCATGTACTGTCTTGTGACTTCGACGTCGCTGCGAGCTCCGGGGATCCTGGTGGACAGGAAGAAACGCAGCGGCAAGTTGCCACCCCTTTCTCCCAGCATCTCCCTCCAGCCAATGGCGAAGAGTTCTCGGCCTCCCTCAACCTTGCACGTCAAAGTCTTGTCGGCCGCTGCTCTGCTGCCCGCCAAACTCCTCTCAAGCTCTCCTTTAGGGTAATATTCATCGCACCTCTCCATCATCCCCATGAACTGCAGCCCGAACCTGGTCAGGGCGAGTGCAGTCCCTGTGCATGCAAACGGGCCATTGCCGATCACGATCCTCTTCGACCCAAAGTACTTCTCGCACAACCTCAAAGCACAGCTCGAGTGCTCGGTGGGCGCCTCATGAGTGAATTTCTTCGCCTTCATGGCTTCCTGCCCCTCGTTGATCTCCAATCTTACCACCATCCCAGTCTCGCTGTCCTGCAAGCTCCTCAACAAGATTCCAACCTGCTTCAGGTCTTCTTCCTTCCTTGAAGCCTGAGGAAACGACAGGTTCTCGCAGAAATCCCACTTGACACTCTGCTCCCGGAGCACCAGGCAGTCTCCGGGCGATAGCGCCTGATGCATGTGAATGTTGAAACACTTCACCATCCTTCTCATCTTGTGCCAGGGGTCAGGTCTGTCTTCCGATGCTCTCTCCCTCGACCAGAAGGAAAGCGCGCTCTTGATCTCGAACCACCGCTTCCTCGTCATTCCGAACCTTGCCAGCATCTGTCGGTCGCAATGGAGGCAGTCAGGGCTGTTGTTCCAGTAATCTGCGACCTTCTCGCATGGCTCAAACGCCATGAACAAGACAATCACCATGAACTCATCAAGCTCCTCCTTGTCCAACTTCTCCACCGTCGGGCTAAACTTCCTGTTGGTTCCCTCAATCATCAGGTCCGTCAAGCTTGTTGGGACCATGTGACGGAAATACCACAACGGCCCACGTGCACCATCGGTGTCATGGCCTGGAGGGTGAGCCAGTCGCGCATGCCCGTCATAGTCTGCGTATGGATCGACAGCTTCCTCCGATTCGTCTCCATCCTGCCAGGCTTCCCATCTGTACCTGCTGGGTCCCCCTTCCTGTGCTTCACCCTGTTGAGATTCGGACGCGTTCGCTTCCTGTTGCACTCTTGGAATTTCGACGTCTCTCTTCCTCTTCCTCTCCGTCCTGCCATCTGATGCCCTGAACACCTTGTGCTGCGCTCCGTACTCAACGTCCTTGCTCTCCGACAGGCTGTCCCACCGAATCACGAACTTGCGAGGGTTCGTCTGTCCGATCAGCGTACCTTCCACTTCCTGGGACTGCCATGAAGAAGGAAAGGCTCGTTCTAGCGTCTCCTGGTCCAGCACGTCGACCCCTCGCGCTCTCACCCTCTCCCCCTCCCACCACTCCCTGCCCCCCGCCCTGAGCAACGCTACCGCCCTGTTCGCACTTGCCATGGGCGATAAAAGGTCGGAGTGGTGCTTCTTGGAAGGTGGTGAGAATGATTTGATTAGGGGGTACTGTAAAGGGAATCAAAGGGTGAGGGATGGTGGGGGGGTGGGGTGGGGTGTTGCATTCAAGGTGTTTGCGGCAATGGCGGGAAGGAGCAGCACAGGGACAGAGCTCTTCCTCTTCCTCCTCCTCCTCCTCTCCTCTCCTCCTCTCCTCTCTGCATTTATCCTGCAGTCTGCCCCCCTCAACGCCTTCCATGCCCGCTGCTCTCGCTCTGCCTGCTTGAAGAAAGCTCCTTCGAGGACGAAGGCCAGCGCGAGAGTCCTCATGTCGGCTATCAGAGATGTCGCGATGGAGGTTGTGGGGAGCTGACATGATCATTGAGGAGCTGACGGAGAAGCATGCAGAGCGACATCCTCAACATCGCGTCCCTCGCATCTCGCCCTCTTCCGAACCGGTGACTCGTTGACATCCAGGAAGGGTTGGCTGATGAATTGCAGGCCCGACGGGACCATCGTCTGCGTCCTCTACTCTTCGGTGGAGGATATGAGCCTGCAGGTAAGGAGGAGGAGGAGGAGGAGGAGGAGGAGGAGGAGGGGTTCAACAAATCCCTCAGGCGATCAACATGGACTTCGAACGGCTAGCTGAAGTGTTCCCCGATTGTGTATGTGCAACACGAAACTTGCCAAACGAACAGCATGACTCTTGGTGAACAGATCTTCTTGAGATGCTACAAGGAGTACGAGGGTTCTTCCATCACGTTTGCAAGTGAGAGGAGGGGAGGAGGAAAAGGACTTGCTGTACTCATGCTTCTTTCACCAGCTCGCCAAGTCGTCTCCTTCCCGACCTTTGAGTACTTCTACAAGGGCACTCAGGTCTGCAAGCTGGCAGGATCTGTCGGTACAGGAGGTGAGATGTGAAGGGCAGGTAGCGAGGACAACCGGCCCGAACTTGAATGAAGTCAAAGAAAAGATCAGACAGTTTGGATTCGTAAGTTGCTGATGTTTGTGATCGCCATCGAATGACCATACACCGCAGATAGTGTCAAAGACCGACCTGTTCTCAGGTTCCTCCCTCCCTCCCTCCCTCCCTCCCTCCCTCCCTCCCTCCCTCCCTCCCTCACTCACTCACTCACTCACTCACTCACTCACTCACTCACTCCCTCCCTCACTCACTCACTCCCTTTCTCCGTCATCAATGTCTCTGCAGACTCCGCAAGCTCCTGGTCGAAGCAAGGGATCAAGGAGCCTCAGGTGCTGGCACATCCTGGATCCACGTAATCCTAACACTCCTGGAAGGATCCGACGAAGCTCGCTTGGGACAGGGAGGCAGATAATGCAGCAAGTGATCGAGCGGGAAAGAGTGTTGGCACCCTCCTCAGTCTCTTTCCGCAGGGAGTGGGAGGATGGCGAGCTCTTCCGGACCATCTTCTACCCCTCGTGAGTTCATCGTTTCTCCTGATCCTTATTGTCATTGTTACCATCATGGCCTCCTGCTCCATCATCATCACCATCATCATCATCGTCCTCCTCCTCATCGACATCATCAGTAGCGGCAGCATCTGTCTCATCATTCTGCTCTGTACCTCACCCCCCCCCTCCCCCTCGTCTTGCCTCGAACGTGTTTGTCACCCTCATCTTGTCCTCCCTCACTCTCTTTCAGGTACCACCATGAGGTTCATCCCAGGAGGGATGGGGCAGCAGGCGGCAGAAATCATTCGGGAGAAGGGAAGCACGCTTGATAGGTCGAAAGCCTCCTCCTCCTCCTCCTCCTCCTCTTCCTCCTCCTCCTCCTCCTCCTCCTCCTCCTCCTCCTCCTCCTCCTCCGTCTTTCCATATCTTAAGCTTTTCTACCGTGTGTTGCTCTACCTCTCCTTCCCCCTCAGCTTGCCCCCTCCCTTGCTCACTTGCTTCTCAGCTTTCAAGCAGCAAGGAGAGGAGGAGACAATGAGGGTGTTCAGCTGCCAGGAGGCGGATCAGGAGGAGCAGGAGGAGCGTATGAGCAAGGTTTCAAGTTCTGGAAAGAAAGATTCGAAGAGATTGTAAAGGACGGCGATGGGAAATCGACGGGCAAGAATGAGCAGGTGAGAGAGTAGGATCATGTTGGTACAGTCACGGGGGGATGGGAGAGGGGGGGGAGGACGAGGAGGAGGAGGAGGAGGAGGACGAGGGGGTTGATGGTGACTGTACAGGACAACAGCGGGAAGCGAAGGGACGTCGATGCGGATTCAATCATCGACAACATTTGGGATTCTCCTGACTACAAGTAGAACTCTTTCACCCCGAAGAGAATGAAATGTTTGAGGGAAAGGCGAAATGGAGGAGGTCTGAGAAAAATGAAGAGGGGAGGGAGGGAGGGGACAGCTGGGTGGTGAGGAAGGAGCAGGAGCAGGAGCAGGAGCAGGAGCAGGAGCAGGAGCAGGGAGAAGAGGAACTAAGGAGTTCGGAGACAAACTTCCATTCAAACATGTCAGGATCTCCTTTGGTCGAACCTCAAAGATCTGCAACAGTCGATCTCAAAACACGGTTGTCCTCCTCCCCCTCCCCCTCCCCCTCCCCCTCCACCACCACCACCACCTCCTCCTCCTCCCCCTCTCCTCCTTCTCCTGCTCCTCGCTCTCTTCACCTTCTTGCATTTAACTCCCTGGCGGAAAGCCGCAGCGGAAGGTTGACCAAGGCGTCTTGGGATTGGAGCCTTGTGGGAACGTTGGCGCTCTCTCGAAAGATTGTGCTCAATGACGGAGAGTCATTGGCGAGAGATGTTATAGTTGACATGTCCGCTCTGTCGCTCTTGTACGTTTGTACATCTGCTCCTGAAGTTCTCTTCGTCTGTGTGAGTTTTGTTGTCCTGAGGTGATCGGCCGCAGACTGCAGAGCGTCTTGGCAGGAGAAGCTCATGACATCTTTCTCCTGCACATCAAAATGTTATGGTGATGGGTATCAGGTGCAGCTGCATCGTGATCGACTCTGCTTTCGTTGTCTTCACATGGTAAACCATATCATCGGGATCATTGTTGTCAACAGCAACAACATCATCATCGAAACCATTCGCTCGCATCTCCGTCATCATTAACATCACCGCCACCTCACTGGTCGAAAATCATTCATCTTCATCGACATCTCCGAGGGCATCATTATCACAGCGTTCGGATTTCTTTACCTTCTGCAAGACGATGTTTTGCAACTCCAGTGCGTCTCCTTTCTTCTTCTCCTTCTGAAGCTCAGCGATGGTGCTGTTATGAGCACTGATAGACTGTTACAAAGATCAGAGCGTGAAGGGGAACGAAGACAGAAGAGAAGATGTAAGAATACACAAATACAGGAAATTTGCCTTTGAGCAAGAGATAGAAAGAAACAAGAGACGGGAATGGAAGAAAAATGAGAGTGAAGGAAATATTGTAGCTATTTGCACACCTTGACAAGCTCGGCCTTGCTCTCTTGCAGCTCTCTTACAAGCTTCTGCTCGCGATCGTTGAGATGCTTCAAGAGAAGTTTCATCTTCTCGTCCAGCCCGTCCGCGTCCGTCTGCAGCACTTACATGGTCAGGAAGACATCTTGTTGCAACAGCAAGACAACGTTGAAATCTGCAATGACTCTCTTGTAATTGTCAATCTCACGGTCTTTGAGAAGTAATTGCTGCCTGATGGAATCTTGTGAGATTTACAGGAAGAGAGAAAGTTTGAGCAACATGCAATCTTCTTTCATGCTCTCGATCGCTGCATCTTTCTGTTTGGTGCCGTTAGAATGCAGCAGATAGAAAAGACGACAGAAGCAGCAAAGGCGAGACATGAGAGATGTGCAAATGACAGAGAGGAGAGGAGAGGAGAGGAGAGGAGAGGAGAGGAGAGGAGAGGAGAGGAGAGGAGAGAAGAGGAGAGGAGAGGAGAGGAGAGAAGAGGTGCGGAGGGGAGATACAAACACTGACCCTGCTGCAATCTTGCTGAGCATCATGATATTTCTGTTTGACTTCGTTTGCACTGCTCACAAACTTCATCATCAGCCGCTGGTCGGTGAAATCCTTCCAAAGGCGGAAGGTGCGATGAATCTGGAACATGCAGTGAGCAAGTCGGCGGCTGAACATGGAGTGGGCGCAAACTTTTCGATTCGGCTCGATGATGGATAGGTTGTGGATGCTGAATTCGTTTCGTCTTCTCATCATCGTCGCAAAAAGTCTCATGGAGATGAAGAACAATCTGGTCAGACTTCGCTTTCTGAGCTGGAGGAGAATGGAAGAAAGATGGAGACTCGACCTTGCTGCAGACAAGCTGTCAAGGGAAGAAGAAGATTGAGATGAAAAAGTATGAAGATGAAGTGACAAGGGAAGACAAGAGCCAGGGAGACATTGACATCATATATGACATCTTAAGTCAACGATCGTCAGCAACAGTCTTGATCACCTGCCCTGGCATGCGCGGCGAAAATCTTGAAGTGGAAATAAATGAATCTTTTCCGATCATTCTCATGATGAGAGGAGAAGAAATGTTTGTTGGAGGATCGAACGAGGCAAAACTGAGTCTCAACTCCCCAGCTTTGAAGATGTGTTTTGAGCATCGACCTCCTGTTGGACCTTGCAACAATCTTGTCGAGCTTTCTGAATGTCTTGTTTGCAAACAAGGTAAGTTTCCATGTCATGAATACATTGAGTCGTCTTGCAGACAGCGAGTGGTCACATTCCGTCGAGAGTCTTCTTCTCAACTCAACAAGCGCTAGTGTCCGCCATGCTCTCAGGACACTCTGTCTTGCCCTCAAGCGTCTTCTCGACACGTACCGCAAGCATGCGATGATCGTAGTCTGACTTCTGAGCGTGCGGCAGCCCCATGCTCTCATACAAGAGGTCAGACACCGAAGACCAGCCCTCGTCCTCCCCCTCCTCGAGAGCTTCTTGAATCTCCTCGTCATCATGGCCTCTTCCAACCATCTCATGAAGCTTGCTCGTTTTGCAAGCATGTCTCTTCTCTGCCTCGCCCTCACAGCCCCTCTCCTCACCCTCCTCGCACGATGGAAAGTTGCCAACCAGCATGCAAAAGCACTCATTCCCAAGTTGACCTTGCTGGATTGTTGGGGATCATTGATTTGCTGACAGATGTTTCTCAATCTCGAGCAGTGACGGTACCACCTGACAAGCAGAACAGACAGAAATGCTTGCCTGTCTTTCTCTTTCTTTGACATTAAGACTTCTTGGCTCTTGTTCTGCTTCTCCACCACCATAACATGATACATCGCCCTGAATGACAACAGCACCTGCCGTGTCTCTCCCAGCCTTCGCATACGGCGAACTGCTGCATTTACCCCTCTCACTTCCCTCCAACCTGTCAGATGTCGGTACAACAACTTCCTCTTGGCAGACAAAGATGATGTAACGTTGAATTTCACTTCACAGCACATCTTGATGAACAAGATAGACTTTCTCCAGCCAGCAAACAATCTCCTCATCTTCATCGCCTGCCCAACAATATCATCTGACCTCCCTTCACAGCTTCTCCCAGGCTCACCTCAAGTCTGCTGAACATTACCCTTGAGTCTGCGACTTTCTTGCTCAAAGACAACCAGCACAACACTTGGAGTCCCCTTCTTCTCACTCTTTCAACCTTGTCGCATACATGTCGAGCTTTCACCTTGTCGTCTGCAAACCCGAGAAGAGTGTGGAAAGCAAAATTTTTCATCCTCACGCTCTTTGCAACCATCATATCGCTGCTCTTCTTACGGCAAACCTTGGAGCGAGTCATCAGCGTACGCCAAGAGGACGTCAAAGTAGCCAGAAGCCGAAGGAGAATGCGGGAGAAGAGAGCTTGCACTTTCCTCCGGCGCAGCCCGATGGTTCTGGCGTGTCGAGCAAGGGAGGAGAAGTGAAACTTGAGGCAGGAGCGAGAACTTCGATCGTTGATCTTCGACTGCGCAACGAGATGCCTCCTGGACATTGAAGTGACAGCAGCCCAGGTCTGAAAGCTCAACTGAAGGTGTTTCTGAAAGACAAGAGACAAAGTCCTTGCCATGATGTTCAGCCTGTGTTGCATCTCGAACAAGTGATCCTTCCAACCTCCGAACAGCACCTTCAGCTGGTTCTGCCCTTTCCTCATCCTCAAGTTTTGCAACCTCAACCTTCCCTCCTTCATCTCTTGCGCATTGACGCTCAGCTTCTCAAAGCAAACCCCAACATCTCCTCTCATCCTCTCCTTGAAGCTCCTCCGGCACTTCACCAAGATCCCCACGTGCCTCCTCCATGCCGCCATCATCGTCCGCACGGTGATCAGGCTGAACTTGGAGCGCATGAAGGCAGCTCGTTTCAGCCTGTTGGAGAAGGAAATCTGAGAGTAGATCGCATGACTCCACATAGAGAAGTATCTCCTGGAGCATGAAACTCCTTGCCCCATGTTCCACCTCAGCAGCAGATTCTTCAGCTTCTTCTCCGAGTCCTTCACGTGCAACCAGCTTGCAAACATTTCCACCACCGTCATCCTCATCCTCTTGGATGAAAGCGCCATCTCCTTTTTCCTGTTCCTCGCAACAGCTCAGTCAGAAACCTCGTCTTGACTGGTCCCCCCCACACGCAAACGCAAGCAGTACCTCCAGAGGTTCTTCGTCGACACGATGCTCTTCAACTGGCAGAAGGCAGACTGCAACAGCCCCGCCCTGCTTGCCATCAATGCCGACTGAGACATTTTCCTGGCCTTGCACAGTCTCTTCCAACCGCGCAAGATCACTTGCAGGTTGTAACTGACGAAGTTAACGCCAATCCGCTTCATCACGTTGAGATTCTTCACCCTCTTCCTCCACTCTGAGAAACTCGCAGCCATGATCGACTTCTCTTGTCCCTTCACCACAACCTTCATCAGCGACGTCCTGCTCTCCGGCCTCATGGCATTGAACGAAATCTTCATCACATCATGCGCGCTGACCTTCCTCTGCAAGCTCTTCAGGAAGTGTCCCATCCGCAGGACCTTGGACTTGGCGCTGAGAGCCCAAGTCAAGAACATGAGATGAGCTACCCGATGCCTCTGCATCTTCACAACGTGCTGCACCAGGAACGCGTCGAAGTTGGCAAACGCCTTCCTCATTGCAGCTCCGCTCTCCCTCCTGACTTCTCTCAGCTCCTGCTCTTGAATGCGGAGAGCCTCTTTCAGCTCCTCTATCCTCGCACCCATCGTCGCCTCAATCTCATCATGGTATTGCAACTTCAACGCCTGCTCATCGCAGCTCGCATGCAGCGTCCTTAACGCTTCCTTGCGTTCAGCCAACTCCTCATCTCTCTCCTCAAGCTTCCTTCTCTCTCCACTGCAAGCTTGTTCAAGTTTTGACATCTCAACTTTCATCTCCTCAACATCCTTGAGGAGCTCATCTCGCTCCCTTTCCAACATCTCCTCCTTCCTTCTCAGCCCATCCACCTCTGTCTGCAGCCTCCCGATGCTATCCGCCAACTCAGAGCCCTTTTTCACCTCGCTCGCAACTTTCGCTTGCAGCTCATGCTGCTTTGCAGTAGCGCTCTCCATCATCTCATCAAAGCATGCCTTGAGGGTTTGATACTTGGCTTGCAGCTCTGAAAACTGTTCATCCCTGCTGTGTATGTAACCTTCCAGCTGCAGAATCTTTGAGCCTGACTCTCTGTCTTTTTGCGCCACCTTCTCCAGATTTCGCTGCAGCACATCGAGGTTGGTCTCATTGGCTGCAAGGTGCTCTTGCAAGGTCTTGTTGAACATCCTGGCATGCAGAATCTCTCCGTCCTTCTTCTTCAGCTCCCTCCGGAGCTCGTACTCCCTGTCGTATGGCAGCCCCCCTCCTGAAACCTCTTGTCTATGCTCTTGACATGCGATGCAGTCGAAAACTCGCTGATGGTCGACTCGATCGTTGTGTTGAACATCGTCGACTCTTCGTTGCTCTCAAGGTGAAGCTTCCGCTGCGCCCTCTTGGTCGGCGGGACCAGAAAGCTGATCGAATTCTCTGCATGATCGCTGAAGAGAGCGCTCTCTGCCTCAGCCAGGGTCTTGAGAAATGCCTGACCCCCTGCAGACATCGTTCAGTCAAGAGCGAGGGAGGTAGACGCAGAAACTCACGACGGACGCTGGCGGTTGAGGTTTCAATGGAGGAGTTGAGGTCATAATCGACTCGATTGGTCATTGTAGTCACGATCAACGATCTCAATAGTTAAGATACACAGTACAACATTCTGCCCTTAAGTTGAGTCCATGTTCGGTGATATATGACGGTGAACGCTGCACGCCACTCTCTCTCCGCCCCCTTATTTCTTGATCTGATTGCTTCTCAATCCTCTATTTTTTGCCATCCCCCTCGCATGCATCGGTCCTCTGTTTCCTTTCTTTCCTCCTGCTCACAACCCGCATGCCCTATGATCCTCTTGTCCGCTCTGCTTCTGCTCATCTCTTGTTTCTCTCTTCCTCTCTTCCCCTCTTCCTCGCTTGCTCTCTCTCCATCTTCCATCTCCCGCCTTCATCTTCTGCTCCCACTAGCAGGCATAACTAAACAGACCTTGTTGTGAGTGCACAGCTTATAGCACTAGTTTTAAAGATATTGACTAAATATTTTGGTACAAAGATTGGTACAAGGAACACATTTCAGGACGGTACAAATCATGATGAGTGTTTTCCAAAACTGGTACAAATCAGTACTGGATTATTCTTTATAATCAAGTTGTATGTGACTTAGCCGAAAAAATGGTGAAAGGCGGGTGAGACATAATCGTTGTATGCAAACACATCTGCGCAGTTTATACCAATATTACACTGACTTGGTTGTAAGTCATCTTACAGTCCGGTAGGCTATTGCATGTCAATCGCTGCTCTCCATGTCAACGTCTGAATGAAGTGGAGAATGAGTCTGTTGGGTCAGGCTTCGAGCAGCGTCAATTCTTCTTACCCTACACAAAGTCAGTCACTGTCCATTGCAATGTAACATGTCCACACGCACCGTCGTACACCTTCGTCACGGTTGGCAACCGCATTCCTCTTCCTCTTGTTCTTTCGGCCTGTGTTGCTCCGACATAACCTTTTGTACATAGTCGTGTATGAAAGCTCGGTGAATCTTTTTCTCTGTTTTTTCCATGCATTCGGTCCATACTTCTCCTTGACAAGTTCAACGTAACCATGATTGAAGCACTCTGAATAGTTCTCATGGTCGATCCCAATATCAGTACTCAAATTTGCAAGTCTTCTGCCCATTACCTCGATGGCCAACATGACTGCTTTTGCTTTGCAAAGGTTCTTCTTCATGTTGGCACATACTAGATCTGTTCCTTCCAAACGTTTGAGTGGACCAATACGCTTCCATTCTCCATTAATCTTCTCCTCTTGCCCTAGGTGCCATTTCTGCCACATACTTTTGCACGGCGTCTTCTGAGGGAAAATAAAACCTTGAGGTACAGGATGTTGCATCCCCCCCCATGTAAACGTTTCGCCTTCAATCAGTATGCCTGTCCTGTCGTCAATAATTGGCAGTTCCCCTCCACCCCCTCTCCCTGTCAGTTCCTCAGGACCCTGCATCCTGAGTCTCGACGTCAGAAGTCCTTGCATGATTTCACTGAATCCTGTATTCATCATGGATGTCAGATCCTCCCGCAGCTTTTCCAGATCTCGTTGAGCTAGTGGAATGGCTCCGTTCACCTCAAAGTTTCTAATGATCAGCTCGTAAATGTCTTGCGGTAGCGAAGTTGAAACATTCAACACTGTATCGTGCAACAGCTTTGTTCCCTGTTCTTGACTCTCTCGCAGCTTCCTGATTTCAGCCACATTCATCACGTGCATCGGAACTCCACTGCAGGTCATACCGCATTCTTCGCATTCCCCGCGACAAACACTGATATGATGCTCTTTCAATTCTTGTAAAAATTGCATTGTTCTTGAGCCTTTCACTGCAAAAACAGGTGACCCCCATAGGAAGTGGTGACTTGGAAACATGTCTTTGAGACGGTCCAGATGGTACACTATCTGCGCAAGGAACATTGGTAAACATCTCTTGTAGCTGTCCGGGAACGTGTCGTATCCATCAATGAACTTGTGCATACCAATATCGTTGATTCTTGCCAGACCTTCTCTTGTGAAATGAGGAGGTAACACATCGAAATTCTCGCTCTTGGTGTTGTTCCCTGCTAGAATACGCCCACAGTATTGATCATTGCCTGGTTCCACTGTTCCGATGTACCTGTCCTTGGTGTTGCCTAAGGACCAGCTGGCTCGTTGAAATATTGATGTACTGACTGGTCCTCCCGGAATGCCTAGTAGATGCGTCACGCTCCCCTTCCTAAAACTGTGCGAACCTGCACATTTCAATCTCAGTCTCAAGACTTCCTCAGGCTAGCACTTACCAACATCCCTCCATACTTCCTCCTGCATGTCCTCTGTGGACAATACCCTTCTCAAGACTTGGCCAAACCTCTGCTTCTGGTCGTTTCCCAGAAAAAATTTGGTGTGACTTATCCTCATTCTGGTTTGGGAAAACGCATACAAAGCAATGGCCAAGATAGGACAAGACATAGGTTTGTTGGGTGCTGCAAATATGTGCCTTGTTCTGGGAGAAAAAATGTCGGCGTCAACACCCCCTTGGTCCATCTTGGTCTTCAATATTGTCAGCTTCAAGCAGTCGTTCTCCCAATCAAAGTGTTCAAGATGTAGAATGTCTAAAGTTTCGCTTCTACAGCAACAGTTCCACATGATCGTGGTACCAGCAAATCCGAACAAGCCTGTTGATCCTATTTCTCGTGCCATAGTGTCTGAACGTATCTGGGTCATCTTTTCACAAATAATTCCATACTCTCTCACTGCCAAGACACTTTTGCCTTCTTTCAATTTCATCACTCCCGTGGATTTCTTTTGAGTAACCACCCTTCCATAACCTTTGATGAGTCGACTGAGCCGGTCGTTTAAAGTACTGCCCGATGGCATTCCAGTCGCGTCAAAAGCTACATTTCTGTCTCTGTAATATGCTTTCAACGCACTCTTGTACACCTGCAGTGCTCCTAACGACAGCGTTCTCTTGCTTGCCTGGTATCCTGAAATGTCCTCGTTCTCAC